GCGCTCAGACACGCTGAACACATAACGGCGCCACGCACACTCTGCTAAGAAAACAACACACAAGACAAACAGGACGACACATGCCCCGCCCCTCCCCAAGGACATGCGAGCGTTCCCGGCGGGGCGCCCTTGGCAGCCCCGGCATAAATTGTCAAAATGAATACAACAGATTAAAGCCGCGCGTGTACTGCTCGGCTGGCGCTTTGCGGGCTCTAGAGATGGCCCTAATGGCTCGAGGACTATCGTTGACGATAGTTTCAGCAAAACACCCAATAAAACCATCAAGTTTAACTGTTATGGCAGAGCTCCAAGGTTGAGCCCAGTGCAGGGGCTAGAGTTTCATCTAAAGAGCATAGAACACGACTTGGGGAAAAAGGGAAAGAGAACTTGCAGTACCTCGATATATATACAAGTGATGAAATCTTAACATTAGTATAGAATTGGGGCATGGCACAGTTAGGCTGGATATGTATATAAAAAACAATTAATAAATAGTATTCTAAAATATTTCAATTGATGTTTCATTTTGTGTGCTTATTTCAAATTATTTACGACTAATAGTAATTAATACAAGAGCTACCAACCAATGCATTGCAATGGTGCCAAAAATATACTGGGAAGTAAAATATTTCTGTAAAATATTTCTATCAATGTTGAAACTTAAATGAACTGGAACTAGATCACATCATAAATGACTTTTCTGTTATTTTTTAGGAGTCTTATTTGGTTTTTTACTTAAATTATTTCCGCATCTAATGCTTTTACTCTTCTTTGTTCTCTACTTGAATTTAAGCATTTCTTTCTTGGGCTATTCTCGATCATCGTACTATCGCCAACTATCGATATGAATTAGTATCGATCTATTGATAGTTAACAATAGATTTGTTCCCTCTAATATCTTATCGGCCTATTACATTATTCGATTTATCTACAATTATTAACAGTTAGGTAAAAATACAATTTAAAATTTTAATTAATCTATAGGACTCAAGTCTGTTGTTCTCCTCGCTAAGACAGCTAAAGTAATTATACGTATATCTCTCATATTTAATAATTCTGCAGTATTATTTGTATAAACTGTATTCTTATTCGAAATTATATTGAAAAATCGAATAGCTGGTCGCTCCATCGCTTCATCAATGGCTGCAGCACTCCCACACCCTACGTTGACCTTGAGATGGCAAGTTATATAGAACAGCTAGCTATATAGGCCAGCTGCTGCTGGGACTAGACTGTTTGTCGGCTTCTCGACTTTGGCTGCGAGCTGCTGGCAGCTGGCAGCTGTCGCTGTTGCCAGTGGCTACTGTAGCTGCGCAGTTGGCCGCCCACCTGTGGCAAGGAGCTCAATTTATTTATAAGCATTTAAAACTGATTTATGTGCGGCAGAGGAAGACAGCTCTGCGCAGCGCTGCTCGCGTGAGTTGCATCTTTAATTTAGCTGGGGTAGAGCACACGCCCGAGTGTTTACCGCAAATGCGTCTTCAATGAATTTCTCACTTACCGAGCAGCAGCAGCAGCAGCAGCAGCAGCACTTGTAGCAGGCAACGCATCAGCTGGCTAAGGCACGAGATTAATGTGGCATGCGGCAAATGAATCCTCTTGTAGCTAAGAGTAGCAGCAGCAGCAGCAGCAGGAGCAGGAGCAGCAACTACTTTGCGGCACACGCTAAACTGAAACTTCAAAATTAATGAATTTTCGCTCAAAGAACAAAATTGCCGAATAAGCAAATCGCTTCTGCAAGGCTTCGAGGCGCACATGAATCCGTTTGGGCGCAATCAAATTTATTTCTTACAACCTGCTCTTGAATTCGTTTTATTTATTTCTTTTTTGTTGCTCTGATACGCCTCCCATGTGGCTCCCAGGCAACTTTACATACACACTCACACATACACATAAGCGCTATGGCAATCTGTTATCGCATTAGCAATTTCCTACTAATTTCGGCACACTCACACACACACACACACTACTCCTGCTCGGTATGAGGTACGAAATATAATTTAATTGTGGGCCCCAACGACATTGAAGTAAACTACATGCAATAACAAATAATTTCATTAAAAAGCAGCCCTGCCAGCTAAACCCGCCGCCTCCGGCATGAGCAGCCATAAACCAGCCAACCAGGCATAAAAACTCAACAGCATGCGAATAATTCCCACTTGTATTTAAGTAATTATGCTAGAAAGTCCTCGTAGCCATGAAAAAAACATAACAACATGTAACATACACATGTGTTTGTGTGTGTGTCTGTGAGTGTGTTGTGCGTCGGTGTATGTTTATGTCTCCAGCTGTGTGGCAAATAGTAAAAAGTCAACGCCACGCAGATCCAATCAGATGTGCATTAGATTTATAAGCAAGGTTTTGAGCATAATGTATCTATATCTGTATATTTATGTATGTATGTATGTTTAGATATGCATGTGTATGTGTATATGTATATGAATATAAGCAGACAAACAGTGCTCCTCATCTGAATAGCGCAGCTTTCATGTTCTCCGTTAATATTGATTTTCCTATGTATTTTATTCGAGCAAAAGTACTGCAAAATTCCCATGAGCACAAGTCCTTCTCTGTACTTAACAGTTTAATTATAATAATAATTAAGAATGGCTTACACTCGAATATGTCAATACTCGATAGCCTGCGCTACATCTGACTTCAAGTCATCCCTTAGTTGTAGCGACTAACTACAAACATGTAGCCTTAGCCTAAGCAACGGCTCAGCAAACTAATAAGGGACACTTGATTAAGCATCTGTGCTGCTCTATGCATGGAAAATAGAGAAGTAGTTTTAAAGCTCTCATGTTAAGTATATACAACTATGTATACAGTATTTAAGAGTGTTAAGAGTTCCGTTCAAATCTTGTATTTGTCAAAAGTTGAGTTGTTTTCTATTTACTCACACATACAGTGCCGCTCACCTGAATAAGTCTGACTTTTTTAATTAAAAACTTATATCTCATCAGAGAAGGGTCTACTCTGAGTGAAATGAAAATGTTTGCTCATATGTCTGTCTGTTTTTATACCAATTTTGTATCTAGATAATCCAGCATCGATGTTAAGTTAATTCATTGGTATTTACCAGAATTAGTAATACTTTGCATTAATAAAATAAATTTCTTGTCTTTACAAATTTAACGAGGTATTAAAAATTTTAATTATGTGCTCTATCGTGATGCACAATTTTTGGCAATTATTTTTTATGAGCTACTTGAAAAGTTTTAAGCAGGAGAGGTGACCTATTGTAATGACTCGTAGTGTCGCCCGAATTCAATTCCAGCAGTTAAATATCACGTGAGAGGAGGAATTTAAGCTGCTTTGCTGCAATCGAAGGGAATAGTTTGTATAGGGGAGGGGGAGGAGCTGTCACTAGAATAGCTTATTTGTGCATATAAGTCTACCTATAGCCGACATTTACTTCTGCCATGACTCAGTTTTTCTGTTCTGCCAGCTGGCGAGCTCTCCTTATGGGAATAATTCTTACAGGAAAATGTTCCCAAATATCTGGACAACTCTTGGCAAAGAGCTCTACGTATTTGCGCTTGGACGTAATTTGTATGTCTGTTTTGGTAGCATTGTGTCGATTGACAATCGACAGCGGAGCAGCGTCAAAGGGCGATTGCTCAACGTGTGCACTCCATCAACATAAATCACTCATACGTCACGTTAAACACGCTCAAAGTCCGAAATGACGCGCGTTTACCGAGGACTGATTCGGAGGCCGCCTGCGAGCAGACATGGCCATAAATTAATTGAAGCTGCCACATCAGGGAGCCAAGTCGCGAATTGGCATCGCGTAAGCTGCAATTAAACTGTAAACGCGAGAAGCGAACAACGGCGATAGCAACAGCAACAACACCAACACCAACACCAACAACAACAACAACAGCAACAGCAAATTACAACCATTTACAATTAATTTGAACAACACTTGCCATGCAAATTGCGTGCCATGGCTCATAATTTCAACTGCACACACACACACACACACATAAACATAATGGCAGAAAGTCAACGTTGGCATTAAAAAGCGACGGGGTCAACGTGCAAACACTCAATTAGCATATCAATAAATCAAGAAAAAGTGTTGCCCCCGCACAGCAATCAGCTCGCACGGCGCCCAAAAATTTAGTTAACAACGCCAAACAATTTATTAACTCGGGCCACTTGCTGCCAGCCCAACGGCTCCGCCTCCGGCTCCTGCTTCGACTCCTGCTCTGGCTCTGGCTCTGACTTTGACTCTGACTGTGACTCTGACCTTGTTTTGCTGCTGCGTGATGTTTGCGTGCCAACAATATTAATCATGGCCCCGGGCATCGTCATCGATGTCCTGCCGCTGGCCTTGGCCTGGGGTGGCCTGGGGTGGCCTACACTCGCACCTGTATCAGGCAGGTGCGCTGGCCGAGTGCTCGTTTGATTGAATCGGCCATAAATTAGAGGCACCCTTTGTGCATAGTTCGATTTATTTTTGGTCGCCGCCAATTAAAACGTTTGCCAAACGCCAGCCAGAGCGCTAGACAAACGCAACTGCCACGCGCACTAATTGCCCACTTTGATGAATTAATTTATTTTAATTGGCAGCGCACTGAAAAGTGCGAGCACCAGCCATGAAATGTGCCCCGTCGGGCCACACTCAATTCAGCTCTGATCCGAACTCCAAATAAGCTCTCCGCCAGTCGCTCCTGACAACGCTCGGACAATGCAAGCAAAAGTCGACAGAAAGTTGATTATAATACTCGTGAGTTGGCCCAACTGAAAAGATTTCAATTTCAGCTTTCCAAATATCCATGAGATACCAAGTATCTCCGACTCCTGCCAACTGTAGAAATATTTATTTTTCATATTTGCTGCCAATTTTAATTGCAAATTCCAAAAATACAACTAGCTGACATACTTTTTCAATATATATGTCTGTATATATATTGTAATCAGAACTGAACTACATATACACACGTTTATAGATTAAAATTTAATGCCATCCGCATAAATTTTTAGCTGTTTCTGTGCTTTTATGCCAAAGCCGAGCGGAGCTGCAGAGAGATGCGCGCTAATGCCACAGTGAGTGACAGCCAGAAAAAAAGGAAATAGATAGATAATAACATTAAAACATCTCTATAAATGCACTGTATCCCTGACAGCGCCTGTCCGCCCGCTGCTGCCAGCTGACGCGCACCAGCCTGGACCCGGGCTACGTGGAGTGTCGCGAGGCGCTGAAGCTGCCCAAAAAGCGACGATTCAGCTTCGCCGAGATGTATACCATCAACATGGTAAGCTGGCAGAGCGACGCTGCGGCGATGGTTGCAGATTATTGAAAGTTCTTTGCTGCAGTGCCTCGAGGAGTGCAACTATATAGGCTCTGGCTACATTGAAGTGGACCCGCCGTACCGCCTGGACATGGTCCGAGTGCGGCGCAACTTGGAGCAGATCCTGCCGCAGCCGCAGGAGACGAGCGTGCCCTTCATGTTCGATGCGTACATCAAGTGCGAGGCTTATCGTGAGTCGCTGCCCCGCGCTAGCCGGAGTCGAGTTTTAAACTGCGCTGCCAACTTTCAGGCGCCCAGCACACGGCTCGCTTCGCGCTGCACCTGCCGGAGATTGAATTCATAGAGGAGAAGTGCAACCCCTTTTCCCTGCACGTGACCATCTGTGTGCGCATCCATGCGATGCAGAAGTGCCCCAAGGAGTTCTACACGAACAGCACCGAGTGCCGCATGGCCCAGGACTACTTCACCAGGTGCGTGGACGACATCGAGTCGAATGTTGCGTAAGTGCATCCACCAGCCACCAGCCACCAGCCACGCCCACACGCCTTTGATGCGATACGTGTAAATGAAATGAAATGAAATGTAGAAAAGTTCTGGGAGTTCTGGGAGCTCTGCTCGCATATAAATTCGTGTTGCACTGCAACAAAAGCGAACAAGCACCGCTTCAAAATAAAAGAAAAAGAAAAAGCCATAAAAGTCATAGATGAAATATGGCAATTTGACTTGGCTCACTGTGTGGGTTAGCTTTTCATCTATCTGAGTGTGTGTGTGTGTGTGTGTGTGTGTGCCCTGGACTTACACGCTATGCAGTGTCAAAACTGCAAATTGAATCACTCTTTTCACATACACACACACACACTCACCCACACACACACAGAGAGACATGTGCTAGCATGTCAATGTCCGCTGCTGCTGACTTTGCATAACTTCGTCTGTTCCTTCAAACTTCGAAGCGTTTTGGCACTTGGTTTTATATACTCTGTACGAGCAGAGGCAGCGGCTGGCTTGCTCTTTGCTCTGGCTCTGGCCTTTACAGCGCATAAATAGATGATGAATGATGTATTAAAGAATTCGCAACTAAAACACAACTCTGCCATTTACTGTCCACACTCTAATTCGCCTTAAGCTGCATCTACAGAGTATTTGGGGATCCGGCTAGCCCGTTCACAGAGTTTTTTGTGGCTCTTGTTTGTTTCTTTTTGCTTGCACTTTTTTGTTTTCAGTGTCGAGTCAGCAGTAAAAGTTGACTGGCATCGGTGTCGGTGTGTCTCTGTCTCTATATATATGGGTGTGTGTGTGTGTGTCACAGGATGTGTTATGCAACTGAAACAAAGGCAAATTTATGTTTTAGTCCAGCGCCTCGCAGCGCCTGCCAACAGCCAACAGCCAGATGCAGAGAGCCTGCAGCCAGCAGCCTTGCAGGTCCTGCAGCGTCAGGTTAAATGGACTTTTCTTTTCAATTCTGTTTTTTGTTCGAAACGTCCTTTAAGGCGTTTGCTTCTGTTTGCGCTTGAGCCTTAAAACAATTAGCACATTACTCGATTTCTCTCTTTCGTTAAGTCCTTTCGATGTCTTCTCCTGCCGGCTTTGCATAGCCTTGATTTGCCACTGGCTGACAATCAAAGAGCTTTTGCATTTTTCTTTAATTACGCCCTCAAGTCAAATTAAAAGCAAATGATAGTCACACACACACACTCACACAAAGAGACTGAGAGAGAGATAGAGGGGATTTCAAGCAATTTGTAGCCTTTTCCATTTGCGGCTTTGCTGAGTTTTACACTTTTACAGTTTGCTTAGCCAAATCAGAGCGCACGTTTGGCCAGCTTTCAAGGAAATTATTTTCACAGACAAAGTCTGGCCAAGACGGTCCGTCTGCTGCTGTCTTCCAGGCTGCCAGTCTGACGGCGCTTGGCCAATGAGTTGTAAGAGTTTAGAAGAGGCCCCGCCCATTGCGGACCGCTGCTCAAAGCACCTAATGACCACTAGGTATTGCCCATTTGTGTGCCAGCTAATTAGTTCTGCTCGGCGCTTCGCTGCGCCATAGTCGAATAAATGGCGTCGAGTGCTCGTAATTAAAATAAAAATCCACTCGCAGCAAAAAAAATAAAGTACTTCAGTCGAGACTAGGCGACTAGGATATACCCTAAACTACGTGCTGCACTTTCTCGATCTATGGAAATACAGTAGTGTCAGCTTATATAAGAAAACTTGTCTGGCTACAGTGTCTTCCGGTCCCTTGAACGTCTTTATAACCGGACTCTACTGCATGTGCAATAGATCTGCAAAGCCATCGATCGATAGTCTGGATGCATTGATGATTTCTGCCTGCGATAGTTTAAAGAAACGATACTATCGATCAATCTACTAGCTCTTTCTTTTCTAAATAAAACTCTTTAAAAGCTTTTCAAACTGATTTTAATAATAATAATACGATCCAAAGCTGAAGTTGACATTCCAGTAAATAAATGATTTAGCTGAAATATGTACTCAAATACTATTGATGGCGCTATCGCATTAGTACTAGCTCTAATGTATAAACACAAATATAGTCAAAGGACTCAACCTGTTAAATTTGTTCTAAATGGATGTTCTGTAGTAAATATTCTGCATTGTATTTCAATTAGGAGAACAAATAAAACATATTCGATATTTTCAGAGTTTAGTCGATCCCATAGTAAACAAATATTCCTGCTCACCTATCCTGTTACATATTCAGATACGTCACATACCCCATACGGCCACGATGAGGGGGTATACAAATAAAGTGGAATATTATAAAGTCCTGCCTCAGGCATGTTGCACGTGTGTCTGGCTGGCTGGTTGGCTGGCTCTACGGCTGCCTGTTTGCCTGGCTGCCTGGTTGCAGTGCAGTCAGTTAGCCCCTGCGGGGCAACGGGGGGACGGGAGGCTGCATAATTCATGCAACCACTGCCAACAATAACAAGCTGGTGCTGTCGGTGGTGCTGCTGGTGGTGCTGTCGGCGATGGGCGGCATGCAATCAAAATTATTATAATTGCGACGCGTTCGCCATTGTGCGACAACAATGACTTCCGCTTCCGTGCTGAAATTCGCTTGTCTTCGCTGTTGCTCGTCCTGCTCGTTATTCGTTTTGATTGTTGCTGTTGCTGTTGTTGCATGTGCGACGCCTGCATCTGCATTGTTTTTAGGCAACTCTTTGTACGAGAATGCAGATAAAGGGTAGAGCTCTACCCACCCCTCCCCCTCGGTGACGGCGGCCGCGTTGGACTGTGGGAGTGCGACACATTAAGTGCCTGCAAAAGACGCGCGACTAAGTGAGCAACGCCCCCTGGGAGGCGCCAAGGTCTGGGGAGCGGGCGAGACAGCGCCTAACGTGCTCAAGTGTTGAAAAGCAGCAGACAACAACAAAAGCAACTGTTGGCATGCGAAAGGGTAGCAAATAAGAAGAAGTGCAATTAACAGTGGCTGAGCGCAGCTCTGATTAGCCGAGCTCGACCGAGGCGCACGCTAAGCTCCAAAAGCACAAAAGCTGCTCAAACAAAGCACATCAATCAAAGCACATGGACTGAAGCACAGCTAACGGCATAATTTGATTTGTACTATGAAGAGAAATGCCAACACCAGTAATATGTGTGCCCTGAGTGCGATATTATGATTACGATACGATATTATGATTATCGCCATCACAACTTTGGCTAAGTGCATTAATTGAAGCCAAGTGTCGGCAGCCATCAGCCACCAGACCTGCCCCCCTCGCCCATCGTCCAGCCTGCCTCTCGGCCGTATAATAAAGTGCATTTTAATTAGTTTAATTAATAAGCAAGAAAGTTTCTACTTGCCAATCTATGAACACATGCAGCCACATCCACACACAAATTGAGCGTCTGTCCTAGCATGAATGAACTTCTGAATAGAAGCGCTGATTAGTGAATAGAGCAATGCCAAGACCTCGGCGCTGGAGTGTTATTATATGTAAATACTTGCCCTGGAATTCTCTGGTATTTCGGAATCAATACCCTGTAAGAGTGTGTGCTGCCGACTTAGTCGATGTGGTTGCAACTGTAGATACGATATATAATTTTAATACAGTGGCTCACAGCTCATGTCAACAAGCAACTCTACTCACTCGGTATTGAATGGCAGTACACAATATCATGAAATATATACAAATAATTGAGCAAATATGACTAATCAGTTGTATTATAATTAATAATTTCCCAGCTTAAATAGAAAATATAATTCAAATTCGACTTATTAGTCTAATTATTTTTATTTATTTATTTTTGTTTTTTTTTTTTGCTATCCCTACTGTTGACTTCCCATCTACAAGTGGTTTATTAATAACTACCAAACATTATTGCTATAATCCCTATTAGTAGCTGTCAAATAACTATTTTCACTATCGATGATTGTCCACCTCCAATTGCTATAGGCCAACTGCAGTTCCTAGTCTATCGAACGCCATATGGCAAAAGTAAATAAAATGATAACAGATAAAAACATTTCTCTGCCTATTATTATTTCAGTATATGGTATTTCAGTATCTCAATATATGCTTAGCTTACAGGGTATTTAGCTTCTGTCGCCATGCTGCTCATATTACTGTCTGCTGTACATGCCGCACTTTAATTGGTTTATTTATGGCCACAAATCAGTGCCAGGGCCAGGAACACACTCACATAGCTCGAAAGGTCTGTGACTGGAGGGGGGTAATTGTTGCATCAGATATCAGACGTTCATGGCCTCAAAGCAGCAGATTTGAGATACATTTTAATTAATTGTTATTACGCTTATCTGTCACACGGAACAAACGCCCACCCCACCTGCCTCCTGCCTTTGTTTGACATGTTAGCTATGGTTCGTGGTGTTGGCTTTTTTAATTGTTACGCATACGCCAGGTGGACCGGCACAGACCCCCTTTGCATATTAATGTCAACGCACCGTGTGAGCTCACGTTTCTCTCTGTATGTGTGTGTGTGTGTGTGAGTGGGTGTATGTGTGATCTACCCCTTTTTATTTAGCTATTCGGCTGTGCTTTGCGTGCTTTTCACACTGCTCTTCCGCCATCAGGGGATAACCTGTCGCCATCCAATTTCACTGGGTGTCAGATTTTCGCTGATTAAACATGCGCGCATATTTCATATTTGTGTGGCATTGCCTGCTGCATGCTGCACTCTCCCCTAATCCCCAAGTGCACTCGATGCCGACAGCGACTGCTAATCGATCTGCTCGAGCTGCGGGCCGTCTGCGCGAAAGCAAATAAAACTCTGGGTCAATTGGGGCCGAGCAAAGTGCTGTCCGCTGGCTGTGACGCATAGAGCGGGAGTAACATGTAAAGCAGCGACCGAGCATTAAGCGCAAGTGCCCACTTGACAGGCCCATGAATACAGCTCACCAGCACGCACACACTCCGGGCCATCTGGAGAGCGACACTCGGCCACAAATATTACAATGTGAGAGCCCAATAGCCCTGTTTGCAGCTACATACAAATAAATGCATAAATTTCGAGGGTCGAACAGCAACAAGAATAATAACA